AAACGTTTTTCCATTTCCCCCCCCCCCCCCCCTGCCCTGAGATCCACTTATAATGTCAGTCAAAGTTTCTTACACAAAAACATATGTAATTAAGTTTTGCGTGACAATTTTCCAACCTCTGTGACCTTTAGAATTGCACAGGCAGTTTTGATGCTGTCCCTTTGTCACGCAGGAACTTGCCTGGGAATGTGCTTTTACTGTTCATCGTAAATTTATGTGGTAATTCATAGTTTTTACTTGCCCAAAAAAACAATTTTACAGTATTTTACATTAAGATATAATGCAATGTTAAACCATTTACAATTAGGCCTATTTTAAGGTATATGGTACAGTTTTTGTTTGTTTGTCTTTTTTTACTGTAGCATTTAGTTCACCCAAAAATGAAAATCTGCTGAAAATGTATGTACCCTCAGAACATACAAGATGTAGATGAGTTTGTTTCTTCATCAGAACAGATTTGGAGAAATTTAGCATCACATAATTTGCTCATAAATGGATCCTCTGCAGGGAATGGGTGCCGTCAGAATGATAATCAAAACAGCTGATAAAAAATAAATAAATAAAAAATCACGATAATTCACACAACTCCAGTCCATAAATGAATGTCTTATGAAGGGAAAAGCCATAATCCATAATAATGTTTCTTCCAAGTTAAAAAAAGTCCATCCCTGTTGTCCTCTCACATCAAAATCCACCAACATATTTGTTTAGAACAGTTTTCTTCTTCTTCTTCTTCTTCTTCTTCTCCCCGCTTGTAAATGGTGCTTGATCTGTGCATATTTCTCTCCTGATTCAGACAAGACGACTTTTTGTACTGGAGAAAGCAGTACTTTAGAGGGTTCATATTTTAGTCAACAAAAGATAAAATTGTCATAATAATGGAATTGGATTTTTCTTACTTCACAAGATGTTAATTGATGGACTAGTCATCGTGTGAATTACTTGTGGGTTTTTATCAACTGTTTGGACTCTCGTTCTGACGGCACCCTTTCACTGCAGAGGTCCACTGGTGAACAAGTGATGCAATGCAAAATTTCTCCAAATCTGTTCTGATGAAGAAACAAACTCATCTATATCTTGGATGGCCTGAGGGTGAGTACATTTAAAGCACATTTTCATTTTTGGGTGAACTATTCCTTTAAGGCTGGTCCATTCACTGGACGTCCTGCACATCTAAATATTAATATGTATAGTACACTCTAAAAAATGCTGGGTTAAAAAGGGACAACCCCAGCTATTAGGTAGTTTTAACCCAGCATTTTTTAGAGTGTGGTATCTTCTTCTGGGGCTGAATTACTGATCTGAGTTGAGAGCAATCAGTTTTATAACGGAAATCGCTATGGTTCCTAAACTGTTAAGATATTCTAGAGTCAGGATGTTTCTGTAATACAGCC